TTTTTTTTTGGTCATGCGCTATTTGATGGCAAGCATCCTACACGAGGTCGCATCCGTTGAGTACGATCTCGGCAATTTCTAAACTAGTGTAGATATCTTCAATAGCGTGCACAACAGGCTGCGTCGCGTGCCAGAAGCGAGCTGGCTGTTCTTTGTTCGGCCCAGCCTTATCGTTAGCTTATCATTCGGGAGCTTGACAGGCAATAAATTCCAAAGACATGGAACCGACACGAGGCAACATGTTAATCAGTGGAGAAGAACGTTCTTTAACCCTGCATCTTGGAGGAAGAATGGAGAATGTATGTCGCTGAGAATGAAAAGCGAGACCAAAAATAATTATGATGGCATCACTTGTCCGAGGTCCTCCGACGACTGCCCTAGCAGAGTAATATGGATAGTCCGAGGATGACTGTCAGTCAGCATATAATAAATGAACTTCGTTTTTGGAGCTGACATGGAAAATCCAGCATTGGATCGGGCAGCGGCTAAGAAAAAGGGCACAGAGCTCAGAACATCTACAATAGAAAACAAGAACGCAACGCAAAGAACAAAAACATCATTGCACCCGTCAAGAATATTGCATCCATTTCCAACAGATGATGGAAGTCTTTGGGGGCCGGAGAAAAAAGGACAAAAAGTAATGGTTGATCTCTCCCGCCGGGAATTGAACCCGGGTCCCGAGCGTTGTTGTAATTGACAAGCTCATATACTAACCACTATACTACGGAAGATTTGCGAGTGTGGGCACCCGCCGTAGAAGATTGGGTTGGGAGACATGCCGAGAATTGCCTTTATCATGGTAACACGAGTAAGTGCCTCGGACAGAAACAATGAGTTAGTGTTCTCGGTGTAATGGTTCAATCTAATCAATGTCTTTTATAGGAATCCTCCAATTATTCTGGGCTCGCTTTCTCATTCACTGGAGAGCAAGGATAAGTCGCATTGCTTAATCTATTTGGAACTCACTCGTCCGACTTTCTATTCTTCTCCTGCACAAACAACACCCCACTCGTAACGCCCGAAAGGGGGGGTAGGTTTCTCTGCTGTGCAACAAACTATGTTCTCACCGCAGTATGCTAACAATGTGCTGTTCCGCTCACATCAGCTCCTTGCAGATCAACGATGCAATGCAAATGATTGACATCCCCACCTGCAAGGTCGGATGTGGATGATCATCAAATTTTCCCCTATCGGCTTGCTTGACTCCCCTGGAAAAGCGTTCTTCCCCGCGCACAAAACCTGAATCACAGGACGCGGCGGGACGGGAGTTTTTGCTTTCGCACTGAATCGCAACTTTTGGGATTTCCATAGAGGCAGCAAAAGGTAATAGGGCAGGTAGGTAGGTGAGGTTCGACGTTGATGGCCAAGAAAAAGCAATTGCCCGAATCGTCCAGGTCCTGCTCTCTGATTCGTCGTGCTGGTTTACAACCCCCCTGTTGCCGCAAGGACCGGGGACGGATGCTCACAGCAATGATTGACAGCCACTTCACTCACTGACGTTTTTCTTTAAACTCACTTGCAGATCAGTTGCCTATTTACTCTAATGGGTAGTCTTCTGTTTGAGTTTGACATGCGCACTGACTTATTGATGTCAAGCCGCACAGCAGATGATTGGAACGTCTGTCAGAGTTTGACACCAAGTGACACCCGAGCTAAAAAAAAAAAAAAAAAAAAAAAAAAAAAAAAAGAATAAAAAAAAATTGAGGCCAAAACTGATAGAAGAAACCAAGTCGCGTGGGCAAAAGACCATGCAGATAGGGGAGCAAAACACCATGAATGTGTCCGTTGATTATTGGTTCTCGCTTTTATCCTTTCCTACTCTTATAGTAGTTAGGTGTCGCATGTCCCATCATTCGCGATCCCACACCGACTAAATGATCGACACTCAACCACCCCTAAAAAAAAATAAACCAACTCTCGCCCTCCACTCAGTGATGAGTGGTGAAGGCCCGGGCGGGCGCTCATGACGCCTATCATCCGCCAACGATTTTGGTGAACATTGCTTAGCCATCTCTATTTATCACTTTTTCCAATTTCTTTCTCGCACCTCTCTCCGACGCAACAGGGATTCTTGGACAAAAAGTAAAACTTTCATCTCTGAATAATTCAGTTCACGTCCAGAAAAACAATGCCCCATCATACCGGTAGTCCCACAACGGGCACGGGCCCCGCCGAAAGACCGATGCCGGCGCCAGATCATCATCATCATCATCAACCACAACAACAACAACAACAACAACAACAACAACAACCACAACAGCCGGCCACCACCGAAAAACCATTACTCGATCGACCCTCACGGTTAAATCAGCCCAGCCAACCCGGCCAGCACCCAATCTCCTTCTCCGTCTCTACTTCGTTGGACGAAAAGCCAATCGACACCATCAAACCCGCCACGCCGGACTCGATAACCGCCGGATCACAAAGCCCGACGACACCCTCGCCCGACAACGAGGCTGGCGATGCTGTCCTCACTCCAGCAGCCGAGGCTCGCCTCAGGCGCAAATTCGATCGAACGTTGATGGTCTTGGTGTTTTGTTCTTACCTATTAGCATTTCTAGACCGATCGAATATCGGCAATGCAGAGGCGGCGGGGATGAGTGCCGATTTGGGGTTTGATGATGCGGAATTTCAGGTAAGTCTGATTCTTGATTTTTCCTTTTCCCGAATCGAGATTTGATTGGGGGAAGGGGGGGGGGGGTACCATTGGACTGTTGAGTTTTCGCAATGAGTGAGAAGAAGGAATTAATGGACGAATTGCTAATGATTATTAAAATTATTTATGAGTGTCAAGTGGTTGTTGACCATATTCTATGTGCCTTATAGTAAGTCCGGGGATATGCATGAAACTTAAACGACGACGTAGAAAGCTAATCGGGCATTATAGTAATCTTTGAGTTCTTGGCTGTCATGTGGAAATTGGTGCCGCCGCGTAAGTTTGACTTGAGGGAAAAGGATCGGGAAGCCAAATAAAATGCTGACGAGACGACCAGACATCTGGGCTGCGTCGATGGTAATGATATGGTGAGTCGAGCTGAGATTATTTGATGGCAAGCGCTGAATTGCTCACGGAGATCAATCCAGGGGACTCGCGTCGGCTCTTCAAGCCGCGGCGTATAACTGGGGTGGACTGATGGCATGTCGGTGGTTTCTGGCTATGGCTGAGGCAGGGTTCGCGCCCGGCGTACCCTACCTCCTCAGTTTCTTCTATAGGCGGAGGGAACTGGGTGTGCGGATTGGGATATTCTTTTCGGCTGCGCCTTTGGCGACCACGTTCGCTGGTGAGTGATGCAGTCTAAGAGCGGATGAGGCGAGAAGCTGACATGCCTGTAGGTGTCCTCGCGTATGGTATCACGTCGGGGCACACAGCACTGCCTCCCTGGAGATTGTTGTTCCTTGTTGAGGGAGCGCCCACGCTCATCCTTGCAGTGATTCTCTTCATCTATCTTCCAGACTCACCGGACACGGCAAAATTCTTGACGCCCGAAGAGAAGGAGGTCGCCCGATCCCGCGCCATTCTCCAGAGTGGCAAAGAAGGCAAGGCAAGACTGGGCAGTATCGACAAGGGAGAGGTCCTAGATGCGTTCAAGAGCTTGCAGACTGTCATCCCTGCTCTTATGTACTTCAGCTGCAACGTCTCGTTCTCTTCACTTCCCGTCTTTCTGCCCAGCATTCTCAGCTCCATGGGATTTAACAAGATTCAGGCCCAAGGGCTTACTGCTCCGCCTTACTTCCTTGCCTTTTTGGTCTGCATCGGCACGACGTACCTTGGTGACCGCATCCAGCAGCGGGGCATCATTATCATTGTGCTCTCTGCAATTGGAGGGATAGGCTACGTCTTACTGGCGACAAACACGTCGCTGACTGTACGGTATGTGGGCGTTTTCTTTGCTTCCGCTGGTGTCTTCCCCGCGATCGCAAATATCCTGCCATGGACTTTGAACAACCAAGGGACGGACACCAAGAGGGGCGTCGGGATCGCCATCCTCAACATTGTCGGACAGTGCGGGCCGTTGTTGGGAACTCGAGTCTTCCCTGCCGCTGAAAAGCCGTATTATTTCAAGGGGATGATTATTTGTGCCGTTTTCATGTTCTTTAATGCGCTTCTTGCTGCGTTGTTGAGATGGCATTTTGCGAGGAAGAATAGGATGTTGGAGGAAGCCGAGAGGGTGACGGTTGGGAACTCAACGCCGTGTCCGGCAGCACAAGAGGCGAGTGAGAGGGAGGGGACTGTTGGATTTAGATATGCACTTTGAAGAGTGCATGTAGTTTTTTCTTTCTTTTTTTTCCTAGAAATGTTGGCTGTTTGAGCCTTTGGTGTAGAAGAATATAGTAATAATAATGACCAAGTTTAATGTTCTCCCGGTTCGATATGCAGTACAGAACCCTTTTGATCACTCCTTCAAGAAGAGATAGGAGCTCTTGTATGTACTGTACATTCATACAACCCAACATGGCCACAATGTTTTCTCCCTCAAGGGACTGAATAGCACCATTTTGCCGATAAGTGGTATCGAATAAATTTCCCAAGAAACAAAACTTCCATCCAGTACAACATACTTGATTTTCTTGTACCCGAGCAAGAAGTCGTCGTTGGTTGTGGCCTCTGAATCTTGTTCCGAGCGCTGAGGATCGGTACCGATCTTATCTCCTGAGCCCCCCCCCCCCCCCTCCCTCCCTTTTCACCAACAACAAAACAACAGCAACAACACCGCATAAAATCACAGATAGTGAAAAAAAAAAAAAAAAAAAAAAAAACGGAATCTCGCCCCTTTGCTTCTCCCATAAATGAATTACTAATTATTGGTTTATCTTATCTGGTACTTAGGGTAAGCAACTACTGGGTAATTCCCCGTATTGTATATTTTTTCAAAAAAGTTTTTTTGTGCATTTGAAATTTTTTTTTGGGAAAAAAAAAAAAATTTGTTTACGATCAACTTCATCAAATCAGCAAAACAAATAATATAAAATTATAAAAAAAGAAAAAAAAAATGAGACAATGGGCGACCCCGGAATCGAACCGGGGTTTCTTCGGTCGCCGTGAATCAAATTCAAACGAAAGATTTTGAACCACAACGAAGCGTCCTGACCACTAGACTAGTCACCCTTTCAGAGGTAATTTTTTTTTCCTTTCCCCCCTTTATTTCATCACGTTGCGACCATTCTGTTCTGGAATCGAAAGCGTTGTTGGCTCTTGAAAAGCAACAACAAAAAAGCCCGAGAGGGCCCGGAAAAAAAAAGAAAAGAAAAGAAAGAAAGAAAGAAAAAAGGTGGGAAGGGGGGGGGGGGCGTGGGTTTGATGAGAGCCATTGCCAACTTCTTCACTGGGGTAACACTCTCGAGAAGTAAACAAAGACTGAAAAAAAAGGGGGCGGATAAGGATTAAACAGGTGGGTCCTAGAAGTTCCCCCTACAAACCATTAAAGAAATAAAAAAAAAAAGTCTCCATCACGTACCCAGAAATCCCATGACGGCATCCCAAGAATCAGGCGGCAGGATAACCACACCTTCAACATACCCTTGATTCAAAAGCCCTTTCAATTCATTCTTGCGCAACACACCACGTCCAAAATTATTCCAGACTGTATCACCATTTCCACACCCTCCCACGCTTTCGTCAATGATCCCACCACTCACACATTACCACACATCATGGCTCGGCAACAGCGACCATAATATATTTAGAATCCCAAAAGGATGAATAACACTTCAACTTGCCGCCAAGACCTTCAATGATACCTTACACGACATTAAGCCACTCAGTCTAGAATATCGAATAAGTCACAAGACAACCGTCGTGACACCCGTTGACCCCCGCGTGTAATAACCTAATGGTTATACCCCGTCTCGTCCTTACCCTTAACCTCGACAGCCCAGCTGGCCACCTCCCCATTAAATTCGGGGAATCCATCTGTCTGATTCGCCATCCTAGGCATATACTCCGAATTCTGCAAAGTCAGTTTCAAACTTGGCATATTTCCTACAGCGATTTGTGTTCCATCCGCCTATTCACGCACGCACGCTCGCACATTAGCATCCATCATTATTCTCGCCCATTTCACCTCCCCGTCAGGGTGATATACATACCAACCGAATCTCCACCTCCAATCCCCATTGAACAAACGCAACAACCTTCTCCGGCTGAAAGTCGAACAAGCTACTGTTGTCATTAACCCTCACATCCCCCAGCGGAACCCACTGACTTAGGAACCCATCACACGGCGCGCCCAAAACCGTCACCTCCCCAACTTTGTTGCCGACTAGCCACAATCCCACACTGGCTCCTCCCCCTCCCCCAAGCTCATTCCTTTCTAACTCAACGCCAACTGTATAATAATTCATGATCCCCGTTTTCCCGAACTTGGTCAAAGTCCCCGGTTGAGCGACCCTGCTATTTGTAGCTGGACCATACAAGTGATTCACTTGAGCTCTGACGTGCGACGCCCTCGACTCAAGCGGCAAATAAAAATCTGGTAATTCTGGGTAAGTGTACCCAAACACCGAAATGTTAGAAACAGATTTCGACGTGTGAAAAGTCACATTGTCAGCCATGAAAAACGGCTTGAGCGGGGAATCTGCAGTGATTATCGTGTTCTTGGGTGTGCCGAATTGTCCACCCGAAATGCTAGTACCATTGAACATGGCATTATGGTAGTTGATGGTTTGCCACATTGCAAGGAGCCGGTCGATGTTGGCATGATGGAGCATACTAGCATGTAATAAAAAAACGTTAGGAGGAGGGAACAAACAACAAAACAGAAAGGGGGACTGGCAAACGTAAGTGGGATTTACAAGAGGGGTTCAAACGCCGCCCAGTTGATATCCGCCATTGTCCCCGTTCCACAGGCACTCTGGAAGTGGACTACGTTGTGGGGATTCTCAAAGCTGGTGCTTTGCATATCATCAAACGTCTTGATACGCGCAAAGATATCGTACTGGGTTACAAGACTAATTTTTAGCTGCCAGCGGGCCTTCCAAACGAAAGGGTCAAAGTAAAATTGTAAAACATACGATATTACTGGTTAGACTAGTGGCAGCTGAGAGCAATCCCTCGTTGGATGCTGTGGCGTTGTTGATTGCGGTCTCATTTGAACCAAGACATCGGTAGGTATATGGGTGTTTGGATAGATCGCCGCCCCATTTCTTCTCGACACTGGGGCGTTGATAGCGATAGCTGTAGAGTGGGTTGGGGATTTCCCTGTCCCCCTCCGGAGCCCTGACGGTTAGGCTGACGGTGATGGATCCCGGAGGTAACGTGGAATTCGCTGCCCAGTCCCAGAACGGTTGACGCAACGTTTCGGCTGCCGCGACGTACTCGGGCTTGAGTTCATCAGGGTACCGCAACGCAATGGCCATCGCCCGGGAGACTAGGAGTTGCTGCCTTGCTATCAGTAAGAGGAAACGCGGTGAGACTCAAAAGGGAATGGACGGTACCTCGAAGAGGGCCACGTAAGGTCGGTGCCAGATGGTGAAAAGAAGTTCCTTGAGTTGTGCTTATCAGCCGAGGGAAGCGCCAAAATGTGTTTGGCTATGCTCATGAGGCATACTCACGCCGTGAGGGCAGAATCCTGAGATGGGGGCGCCATCTACATGTCCAACTCCGTTCCACGCACTGTGAGGGAGACCATGGATACCTTGGAGAAGTACTTGATCAGTAAAAAGGGGGTCATGAGCAGCTTTCAGGGGTCCGGCGTAGTCACCTGCTATCGCAAAGTAGGATGTCTCGTCTGTTTCTTTGGCTTTCTGAAGGTCGGCCAAGGCCAAGATGTAGAGATCCCTTTGTTTGAGCTGCGCATTAGATAAGAGTCCCCCTCGGCGCTCAGTCAGACTGCGGTGTCATGGTGTTACCATTGAGGCCCCCCATGTGCCCATAGGCTGTTAATATTGAGTCTTGACGGCGGCTGTCCCGTCCGCTTGTTGATTCCCGTATCGACGCCGACGACCGGAAAGGGGATAGACGTAGAGGTAGCATCGGCCGTGGGGGTTGTTGTCAGTGGCTGAGCCGCAGCCGTGACTCCCGATAGAGCCGCGGCAACGGCGCAGGATGCAGCACTCCTCCATAACATTTTCCACGCAGTCAATGTCCACGACAGCCACCTAGAGAATTTTTTTAAACAAAAAGCGTGGGATGTAAGCTACACCGCCGAGCCATTTAAATCGACGACCATGACTGGGTTGCCTCTCCATCTTTATCATGGTGGCGAACAGTCAGGAGCCTCCCAGACCAAAGTAATCAATCCTCCCTCAGTTGAACAGAACCCCGGCGGGTGCAGGAGAATTGTAACGATATCACCAGCTTTGTGGAGCTCGAGCACAAGACAGGTCTTTGCTTTCTTTCCTGGCGTCAAATATGAACTCTCTCCTTTTCTCTCTCCATGGAGATGTGTTGTCGTCCTGTTGTGATGCATTCAAATGCAGCTAGACCTGGCTGGAAGGACGGGGGCATCTGCGGCCCGAAGTGTGCGTCCGCGCAGCGTGGGAGGTGGGCTGGGTGTATGGCCGCCGTTATCGTCTTGCCACTGGTCAATGCTGGTTGCCGAGCATGTGAGGCTACGGCGGCAAGACGCAGAAAGCAGACTGGCCGCAGGAAGCAGGTCAGCCTGTGGTGTTGCCCTGGGCGGTATCGGCATGTTCCAGACAATCGGGCTTTGGGCTGCATTTTCTAACCGCTTTCGATGATTGCTTGGCAGCGTGGGGGGATTTCAGTGACCTCACGAGGTCCCGGTGCTGCCTGGGATCATTTGTTTGTTCCTTCCCGTCTCCCGTTGATCGGGATCATCGCATGCTCGCATCAGTGGAGACAGACTGTGAGCCACCGTTGGGTACCTTACCTATGTGGGAAATACCCTAGGTATTTATGAGTGGGAGAGCGATGTCTGGGAAAGTACAGAGCCAGGCCACGACCGAGAAAGAGCGTGTGGGCTCCTACCCAACGAACAAGAATGTGGCTTGCATGATGCCCCCCATTCTGTGCTTTCCATCCGAGACAGCACAACCTACCTTGCCTTAGCCTTGATCCACTCATCTGCGCCATGGAAGCCTGCCTGCATCGACCTCACGTCTCTGTTCCTGTTCTTGAAGTGAACCGTTCCTGACCGTCCATCCTTATGGCCCATCCAATGCCGAGACATCCGCTATGTGCGACGCCCGGTTTTCTTTCCCTGGCCGAGCTGCATGACCTCTCTGAGACTTCGTGATGCCTTACACTAACACCAAACGACACCGCCTTTCCGGTTTTCCAGGATTCTTCCACTACATTTCCCTTTTCGTCTTCTTGTACTTTTCGGCATCGTCATTCCCCCGTCATGAAGCCCGTGCGATGTGTATGCTGATGGGGTATTATACGTGGTGGGTATGTATAGAAGAAAGCCAGAATGATAACAATAATAAAAATCCAGAACAGTGGCGTCCACCAACCCCAGCACTGCCCACCGTGGGGGGGACCCTGTCTACCCCTACTTTTCCCCTTCCATCCCTCTACCACAAGATGTGAAGCACGGGAGATTCCCTAGCTCTCCCGCAGCGGCTAGCCCGGCAGACTGGATACCAAGAGAGATAAAAAGAGTTGCATGGGTCAATGGGGGCGGCTCATTTTTTTTTCTTTTTCTCCTCCACTAAAAGTCTGTTTTCCCTTTTCCATGTGTCTGTGTATACTCTGTGCGCAGTACCTCACACACCTTTTGCCCGACTCAAAGGTACCTCCGTCGGAGGATGACATGGAAGTCCCGTGTCACCATAGTACGTGTCAGCGTGAATAGATTTGCACATTGGGAGAAGAAAAGCGCAGTGGGTCCCAACCTCCCGATGCTAGGAGGAAATGGGTGTTGGGTGGGAGTGTTCCCCAACATGAAGAGCCCGAAGCAAACATGGTGTCATAGTCGACTGCTTTCTTGTATCTGCCGCCCTCTTGTCTGTTGGGTGTTCTGCTATGTTTCGTTTCCAAGTCATATTCACCGGAACAAGTTCCTCATGGTTTCGTAGTGGCGCGTATCAGTGATACATCCAAAAAAGCTTGTCGTGGTTGCTGTAGGGATTATTTATAAAGAACAGCAAGGTAGGTTTCAAACCCACCTTTTAAGTGGGGTTTGAAGATCAGGCAGTTGAATG